TGATGAAGTCGTAATACACGTAAATTTCCTTCTGCATTCAGTTTACACACAAATTCTTACTGCTCATGGTTGAGACCTACTGAGCAGTCATTACCAACTTTGACCTAAGTAAGTTATACTTAGGTCAAAGTTGGTAATGACAACATCAGGGCTTGAGAGAAAGAAACAAGGTGATAATTGAGCTCATATTGGGTGAATTCCTTAACTGACAACATCAGATCACTGGAATAAACCGTTTTTGTCAGGAATCAGTTCAGAAAAGGACCCAAACGGAGAGCAGTAGGCAACAAAAGGCGAGCTTTAATGCTGCTGATAAAAACATCCAAAAACAGGCAGGTAACTGAAAGCCCCAAAGATGGAAGAACCAAAACTAAATTGAAAACCAGCCGGGATAACATGATGAACTCAGGGAGGAAATCCAAAATGGAACACAAGAGACCAGGCAGGAAACAGAGCAGGAAACAAAACCATGAACACAGATGAACTGACAAGGAACAAAGGCAAGCACACAGGTATACATACACAGACAACTAATCACAAGAATGAGACACAGCTGGAGTCAGAGGACACAGGCAATAGGAGGGGAATGGAGATTGGCTCACAACAAGGGTGTGGTGGGGAACACAACACGATGGTGGAGCAAACAAGACTATACAAAACAGGAGTGATGGGAAGACTATGGGAACAGGGAAGGACTAACGAGACTGCTGAAGACAGGTGTGTGCGGGAAAAACACACAAAGACAGGAAGTAAAACCAGACATGACACATGAGGAGAGGATCTACAACATAAAACAGGAAACAGATTCAACATTATGAATAACATGAAACAAGGAATAAAATAAACATAAACATAAAACCCCAAAACAAAGTCCACAAGACAAGAGAATTTAAACAAAAACCAGGACCATGAAACTTTCTTCAAAGCTGCATTCTTACTTATTTAGCCTGTTTTTCATCAGATAATGATAAGATATAATCTTAGTGAAATAAGTTTGACTAAAATGACAGTAAAGGAAAACAAAAAAAAAAAAAAAAAAAAAAGAGGACATCCAAGATTAGAGTCACCATTTCAGTATCTGAAAGTCTCCCCTTCTGTTCCTGAGATATGTTTTTGGAGAACATTATGATGTTACAGTAAAGTTAATCCTTGAGCCTTTGGATATATCATGCTATCACATTATTATATCCTATAAAACATTAAATCATTTGAATGCCAATCAATTGTAAAGTGACAGCGCACAGTTTATACTTGAGTCCAAGTGGACATTTGTGCCAAATATAAAGAAACTCACTCAAGGTATTCTTGAGATATTGTGTTCACACAAAAGAGACAGACAAAGGTCTCAGTGACCTTTGACCTTTGACCAAAAAATTCTAATCAGTTCATTCCTGAGTGCAAGAGGATATTTGTGGCAAATTTTAGGAAATTCCCTCAAGGCATTGTTAAGATATTGTGTTAACAAGAATGTGATTGATGCAATCTCACAGTGACCTTGACCTTCAACCATCAAACTCTAATCAGTTCATCACTGAGCATGTTTGTGCCAAATTTGAGAAAAATTTTTCCTCAAGGTGCTCTTGAGAGATTGCGTTCAGAAGAATTAGACAAGTGCAAAGGCACAGTGACCGTGACCTTTGTCCACAAAAATCAAATGAGTTAATTGTTGAGTCCAAGTGGACAAAATTTGTTGATGCAGGGGCACAGTGGCTTTGACCACTTAAATCTAATCAGTTTATCGTTGAGTCTAAGTGAACGTTTGCGCCAAATTTAAAGAAATCACCTCAAGGCATTCTTGAGATATGTTCACGAGAATGTGATGGATGCAAGGTCACAGTGAACTTGATCTTCGGCCACCAAAACGTAATCAGTTCATTGCTGAGTCCAATTGGATATTTGTGCTTAATTTGAGGTAATACTCCCTAGGCGCTCTAGAGATATCAGGTTCACGAGAATTAGACAGATGCAAGGATACACTGACCTTGACTACCAAACTCTCAACAGTTTATCATTGAGTCCAACTGCATATTTGTGCCAAATTTGAAAAAATAAAAAAATCCCTTGAGGTGCTCAAGATATCACTTTCATGAGAATAAGAAAAATACAAAGACACAGTGACCTTGACCTTTGACTACCGAAATAGATTCAGTTCATGTTTGGGCCAAATTTGAAAAAGGATTCCCTCAAGTTACTCTTGAGATATGATGTTCACAAGAATTAGACAGATGCAAGGGAACAGTGACCTTAACCTTTGAACACCAAAATCTCATCAGTTTATCATTGAGTCCAATTGCACTTTTATGCCAAATTAAAAAAAAAATCCCCAAAGGTGGTCTTGAGATATCGCATTCATGAGAATTAGACGGATGCAGGGGCAAAGTGACCTTGACCTTTTACCCCCAAAATCAAATGAGTTCATTGCCCAAGTGCACGTTTGTGCCAAATTTGAAAAAAAAATCCCTCAAGGTGGTCTTGAGATATCGCATTCATGAGAGTTAGACAGATGCAGGGGCATAGTGACCTTGACCTTTTACCCCCAAAATCAAATGAGTTCATTGTCCAAGTGCACGTTTGTGCCAAATTTGAAAAATAAAAATCCCTCAAGTTGTTCTTCAGCTATCACATTCACAAGAATAAGAAGGATGCAGAGGCACCATGACCTTGACCTTTGCCAACCAAAATCGAATCAGTTTATCGTCCAAGTGGACGTTTGTGCCAAATTTGAAGAAATTATCTCAAGGCATTCTTGAAATTTCATGGTAATGAGGATAAGACGGATGCAAGGGCACAACAACCTTGACCTTTGACCACCGAAATCTAATCAGTTCATTGCTGAGTCCAAATTCATGTTTGGGCGAAATTAAAAAATAAATAAGAAATCCTTCAATGTGGTCTTGAGATGCCTTGTTCATGAGATTGGAATGGACAGACTGACACCCAGAAAACATAACACTGCTGGCCATGGCAGGAAAACAGGATAAGGTTAACTAAATATGCTAAAAACTAACAAGGGCATTTTGCGCAGGACTAAGCCTTAAGAAAAGTTGACAGAAATGTGAATGTGTTCAACAATTGTCTGGATTGTCAAGTGACCATGATAGGCCTGTGTGTGTGTATGTATAATCTGTTTCCATCCTTTATGCATGGCCCTCCATGATGAAGCAGTTCATGATGCCACACAAGGCTGTGTGATTACCGGGGTGTGAAGCATCCTAGCTTCCTGCTCGGCCTTCAAAAGCCTCACTGAGACTTCCTGATCCTCTTTTTTTTTCCACAGCCTGTTTTCATCTGCAGCAGTAGTATCTTAAATTGCTGTCACTCTCTCAATGAGACACAGAAATGCCTGCTTGGACACATTAGCACTGGGGAGATAGGAGATTTGGACAAGCTCAAATCCACTTAGTCCTGTGGAGAGTTTTTGTACGAGTGCCATCTATTCTGCTTCCTGGCCTCATCTCAGTCTCTCGCCTTATCTTGTGAGTTTAAGCTGCTATTTTACACACACAAAAAATGAATTACTTAAATGGATGAGTGAATTCTGAGAGCTTGTGTGTACTCTTTAAGCAACACAAGGATGGAGAAATACAGATTGTCAAGCAGAACGTTATTCATTTTGCCACCAACGCACCCGCTCAACTCGGTTGTCGGGAAGCTATCAGGCTAGTGAGTCATGCGCACTCCTCTGAGAGGAAAATGCATTCCCAGTGTCACATCCTGTGTCGCTATTATGTCAAACACAAAGAAAAAGCTATAATTTGGAGCTGTTTTGGTGTCTTTTATGTGTGGAAAAAATTACACACTTCAAAATGAAAGAAAACGCCTCCTCAAAGTTGGATGGTTCTCATTTTTGTTAATTTAGTAAGTGGCTGCCTTGATATATTCAGTACAGGGGAAATTCTGAAACTTAGTTCCCAGAATAAATGTTAGTATTGTACACTTCTGCAAACCACAGATATGTAAACTCTGTATGTTTCGTAAGTAGTGGATATGTGTGGTTATGTTTAGGCACAAATACCACATGACTAAGGTTAGGACAAGATTATGTTTTGGCTTAAATTACCTGGTTTTGTTGCCATTGCCACCGCTGGAAGTGCCGCAGATGTCAAGTGTTGTGCTTGAATGCACTCAAAGAGCGCGTCCATTAAATCTGCTCATATTTTTGGTGAAGTGTAAACAGAATACACCAGTTTGCAACTTATGCTATGGTTGTGAGCATCGTTCATTGTCGCTACCCCTCATGACAGTGTTGTGTTGATATATGTTTCCAACCAAACCTTTTCCTTTACCTAAGTATCGAGTAGGTGCTACCAAACCCCAAGACACCAACTGAAGCCAATGTTACACAGTGGCCAAACGTGGAATTACAACTTCTGGGTCTGTCACGTGATGCCATGGAGCCCAAAAAGAGTTTTTCCCATTGATATACATTGTGAAAGAGACGTCTGGAGATCATTATACTTTTGTTTGAATAAGACAACTCCCATGAAATGGTTCATTTAATTATTAGAATTTGATCTATTTGGGCTGGTAACAATTCAAAAGTCTAGAAGAGCTGCATGATTCAATCATTTTATCCACATATTCAGTTTAGCTGAGGGCTAAGGCAGAAGTTAGCTGCTTGGCCAGTGAAAGTCTCTAATGCACTTGCTTTATGGGTGCATTGATGTAGAAAATCTTTGTTATTTTATACTCAGGAAGTCAACGTTTTTTGGCTTCATGCGCTATGAGCAACTTTCATAGTAATGAATAAGGCCTTTAATTGAACCCAGTCCAGCTCTGAAGTTGTTGAAATCCGGCGCTTGGTCAGTGACCTCCGGTTCTGCTGTCCTTTCACATCAGCATGATACACAACCAGTCGTCATTATTGTTTAATGGCACCCGATGGCATTGGGAGGAAATGTCTAACACATCTGTGGTTTGCAGAAATGCACAATGTCAGCCTTTTATTGTAGTGACAGACCTGATCATAATTTAGCTATAAAACACTCTTAATTACTCACAGTCTTGTACTTGACTATATACTCCACTATGGGCATCCCTCCGTCGTCCTGCTTGACCAACCCCAGCCTGTAGGTGTGGCCCATTCCTCTCTGCCCGTGGACTGCCGGCGGACTTGGCTCTCCTGAGGGAGACACGAGGAGGAGGCTTCAGTGGAGATGCGAAACAATATGTCTTTGTGTGTTTTTTCTCTGTGTGTGTGCACTCCCAAGGAGGGGAGCAGGTGGCAATGTGAGATATGAGATAAGGATGCAGTACAAGGAGAGAGAAGGTTTAAAGCTGAATTAAATTCATATTACGAGGCAACTCCCACTGCCTGGCTATAACTAATGTTGACTGGGGGTTCTTATTATTCACTGTATTTTGCTAATTGGGTCTTCTTTCTTACATTTATTCTCAGTAGCTGCACTGCTGTATAATATTAACGGTGGAAATACTTTTCCCACAGCCTCGCCCAGATTTACTGCAATCCTGCTGTGCCAGATTGCCAGAATAAATAAAATGCTTATCATAAAACCCCTGCAGTATATAATTTTTAATGTTTTACATCAAGGCACAAATTTGACAGGATCTATTCCAGACTCCAATAATCTGGATTTATATCACTGAAATATGAGGAGGTTGTAACTATTTCACATATAAGCACACCAGAGTTTCATAAGATGGCAAATAGGACTCATTTCACTCAGGTGCTGAAGCTTTGAATATATTTTGCAGCATGTTTGCATTCCTATCACATATATATTTATTTCTGCCTATGCAATCGGGACGATGTTTCTCATATTAATCCAAATAAATTTTGTTAGCTGTTTTATCTGAGTTTGTGGACCCTCTTGTAGAATATTTCCACACTCTGGGGTTTGCACTTGATCATCTCCTGCACATTAACATCTCTGAAATGTTGGGATGTGCCAATAATTAGCAAGTCTAATTGCTGTAAAGCCATTGTAGTGATGAATAAAAGTGATTATGAGTGGATACATATGGAAATGGCTGTTAGAATAGTCCTGAAGATCCCTTTTGGGTCCAATGTTAATGAGATGAGAAGCTCTTATTTTGAAGAATGTGCCAGGAAACGAGCAGCGGGTTGGGGAGAACAGAGGAAATGGACTCACGGATGGGTAAAGTCTGGAAGGTCTCCGTGTGGCTGAACTCTCCCTGACCCTTCCCGTTGACAGCTGCCACTCGGACCTCGTACGTCGTGTTGGGCTCCAGCCCTGTCAGCACCACTGTTGCTAGAGAGAGACAAGAGCAGAGTTCATGTCACTGGGAAATATGAGGTGACCATCAATCATGAAGATAGCAGAGTGGATCATTAGTTTTTCATGGGTTCAAGAGACAGCAACAATATTGCAGGGAGAAAAAGAACAAACAGCCACAATGTGCTGGTTGGATGAGGAGAAAAAGAAATGGTTTTCCCAGCTGGCCTGACCTCAACCTCATCCACACCTTTGGGATTGGAAAGTAAAAAACAATACTACAACAATACTAATAGAATGCTGAAATTACTTCCTTAAAATGTGTATTTTATACTTTTTTTTATGAATGTGTTGGCTAGCGTGAGCAAATCTTGCCCTTCTTGTCTTGGCCTATCCACATCATGGATGTATAAAGAGGACTGGATACAGTGTCGGAGGCGGGGCCCTGTTCATTCCCATGAAAGCTGATCAGTGGGACATGAAGCCAAGAAAGTCTGGGTATAAAATTAGCCGGATCTTCCGAATAGTTGAGCCCAGAGAGCAAGGGCACAAGAATTCCGTCGTCCAAATGGCTAACTTTGGTTGAATGGGGACAAAAACACTGAACAGAATGGCTGTTATAGACTTTCAAAATGTTATCGGATCAAATGGCTAAAATCCCGATAGTAATATGATCCATTTCACAGGAGTTGTGATGGACCCAGAAATTGTAATTCCGCCAAAATTTCGCCAAAAAATTGGCTTCAAAGTCTGGTGCTATTCATAACGGGTTGATCTGCATTCATCATGTCTGATGAACAATAAAGTTTCCTGAATCACAATCTCATGCACAATGTGCTGACATTTAACTCTAACCCAGGGGTCTGCAACCTTTACTATCAAAAGACCATTTTTGGCCAAAAGAAAAGAAAAAGAAAATTCCTGGGGCCACAAGAACATATTTGAGCCTAACACTGTCATGGCTAAATTAGCCATTAGTCTATATGAGCATTCATTAATATGTTTCACTCTGATGCGGGCTTTTTATGACTATTTGCATTGCATTTGTGGTGAAAGCACATGAACCTGTCCCACTACGAAATATAATTATACAGGATTACACAGGATGATCATAGAGTTCTATTCGGTATACTGACACTTTAATTCTCATGGTTTTGGAATCAGTGGTTCAACAATCACAAAATAATGTAATGTTTGAGAGTCCACATACTTTTGACTATGTTCTGGATCTCAAAGTCATGCTAAATGTATATCTAACCCATAGATTGTGTAAAAGAAGTGGACATAGCCTCCAGGTCTGAAAAGTGAAGTCGAATCGGAAGTGTCCTAGGGTCAGTGTCAAGCTTGTCCCAAAGCTTGCCGCTGTGTTTATCCCCTACCCCTTGATGAAGGGTGATTTATTCAGCTGTGAAGGTGACTACAAACAATTACGCTCCATGATGGTGTGGGAGTGTGTAGGGTCCGGTTTTGGAAGGCCCTGTGAGAACCTGACTTCCCACTTGATTAAAATTATTCAAAACAGTAGTCCACAAACCAATGGGGAACATCACGGTGGCTGCATCCACTGCTTTTATACAGTCTATGATCTAATTAGTACTCCTGCCTTTTAATTATTTGTTTTAGACTTGTTGATAATGAAAGATCTGTGCTCATTTGTTGCCAGTCTCACAGTATAGAAGCTTTAGCTACATTACTATAAGATAATTTAAATTAAAGAGCAGCCCCGCTCCACCATAAAGCTAATAAAAAATAGTAGGCCTATGAGAATATTATTATCAAGGTAGTGCAAGGTAGTATTTACAGTGCAAACATATTTATAATCTAATGTAATTGGCAGCAAATGAGAAAAATGTTTACCTATGGTAATACTAAACTTTATGAATCCCATGAGATCACTGTACATTATCATAAAGAATATTACTATGGCGACAGTAAACCATTAATCTGTTACATTCATGTTGTAATTTACATCGACCATTTAAGGAAACACAAAATCTCATCATCAGACCACATTACAGATTCCTATTTAAATTCTACAGTCACTAGAGTCTATTTACATAACCTTCACTATTCAGAAAAGGCAGCAGTGAGTCGGCAGCGTAATGAGCTTGAGTGAAAGTTGTTGTTTTTGTCAGTCTGCACAAATTAAATACTTGAATGGTAATAGGTGCTTTTGGAGTTCTTTAGTCCTGGAACTCAAAACAAATTCTGCAATTTGCAGCGGTGCTAGGTTACTTTCCAGGCTGTAAGCAGACATTTCAATTTGGGCAGAAGCATTCAAATGAAACAAGTCCAGGCATCTCATTATATTGGAGAGTTTATTGTGGAAGGATCTTCTGCTGATAATATCTGAAGTGCTTCTATGATTATATGATGCCACTTACTGGTTTGTAACTAGTCCACTTTGTAATTTTAATATTTTATTCATAATTTGAGTAAAGAGCTAAATTTAACTAACTGGGCAGGAAATTTACAACTTTATTTATCCAATTCTGCTCCTGGTGTTTCCGACCTGTGGTTTAGTATTTGCCTCACCGCATCTACATATTGTAATTAACTCTGAAATGAAGGATATTAGCTGTAAGCCCTTCAGGTTTGTCAGACCTGCTTATCACCCGACCGTTAGTCCTCTGGCTTCCATTTCTCAGCCATCCATCCATCCTTCACCTCATGGTGTACTCTCCACCAACAGGCTCAGAAATCAATTTGAAGTCGTAAAGCATAGGAAGAAAAGGCGTGTGCTCTTTCAGCTCAGTTGGGTTCTGGCACTCTCCCCACGAGGTGTTTGAGGTCCGTCAAGATGCAACAACATCTCAGGGCTGAGGCTTTGAAGGATCGCATGGCAGATGATGTGATACGGCTTCTGCTTGTGTGTGGCGTACGATGTGTGGTGGTTGGGACGGTCTAGTAAGCAGACGGTTTGAACTGTGTGAAAAATTCTTTTTAAGTATTTCAGTTTATGACAGGGTCTGATCACTGAGGGGTCTTTAGACTCATTTATTATGTGAATGGGAGAGATTTAATTCAAAAATTAATTAGGACACTTGAAATTTGTTTGAGTGGTTTGATCCATCACAGTAAACATCAAGTTCCTGAGTAACAATTTCATATTGATTTTTTCTTCAGAAGAAAGTAGTTCCAATGAAAACTATTTACAGTTTGTAGATTAATTAAAGTTCCATTATTGTTAAATGACACTATAAATTAACATGCATATTGCTTTGGAAAGTTTTGACTTTGTTACCTGTAAATAATGTTGTAAAAGTTCAGGTGAAGAACCCCGACTCATTCTGGATCTCTGAGTGTGATATTGAGTTGGTTCTTCAAGGTGGAGATTTATGTCTCAGCTAGATTCATTGAAAAAGCATGAATATTAAGACACTAAAACACTGTATCCTATGTAATACTACAATCTTCTATTATTGATATGTAAATTTTGGAAAAGCTTATATACTTATCTGTTTGTATATTTTGAAATTCTCTTGGCACGAGTCTGTGGATATATATTCATGAAAAGACTTTGTGGCCATCTTTGAATTTTTGTACTGATATCGTTAAGTGTCTTGTAAGCCCATGTGGACCGGGCACAATTATGTGCATGGCACTTAAATAAACAAATCAATCTATCAATCAATCAATGTAACTTTGACTTTTTTATTAGTTCATTTTATTAGTTCATGCTGACAGAAAGATAAACAAATATAGTGTTGGAAAGTGCCATTATACTCCTTCATTGTCATTCTAGGGCTGCAAGTACACTGCTACATGTAGCTACATGCTAACATCAACATGTATTCTTGGTTCCCTATGTTATTAAAATTTTCCCTGCCCCTGAGTGTTATTTTTAAGTTCCCAGTCACCGCCAGCATTTTTGATCATATTCACTATACTATTAAGACCCACAGAATAACACAATGTCATGTTCAGTATCAACACTGTTGTCTCCCATTCCATTGTGGTCGTCTTGTCCGTGTGTCACGGTCACCGTCATGGAGATCCCATTTTGTCCCACCAAACTTGTTTGCTTCTTCGTCCAAATTGGATTCAGAATGTTGATCAAAACAGGAATTGTCGGGGTCTGAGTACAGCAACATCTCCACGGCTTGAGCGACTGTAAAATTATTCCATCAACGCCAGCATTTTCATGCAGTTTACAAGTTGCTACATTTCCTCTGTAAAAAAGATCTTCTTCCAGTTTCCAGAGCATCTTCCTCTCTGTTTCTTTTTGCACACAACAGCGCTGTTTAATTCCACAAGATGTGTAACAGCTCCCCTTATTTTATAACAGCGAAAACACAGATTGCCGGAATATCTCTTCGATGGCGGGGAAGTGTTCTGTCATAAATGATGGAAAATCTCCGCAATGGTGGGGATAGTGTTAATTTCTCCCTGATTTCAGATCATATTCCTGTTCGAACATGTCCTGTTGTGAAGTTTTTGGTTTGAAAGCTTTTATTGGTGATTTTTCACAGTAGAAAGTGCCGCTAAAAAGGAGCGTCTCACAGCAAGGGTGAACACAGGTGTTCCAGCACAGACAGTATGAGGAAAATAATGTGTTTTTTGAACACTGAAGCATGTAAATGTGTTCTAGTAGACAAACAAAATCCACCTAAAACCCGGAAAATGAGCATGATAGGTCCCTTTTAACAAATCTAATGGAAATCGTCTGTCTTTGAAACAAGCTGAGCATATGAAGGTTTCCTTATTGATCTGACACATTCATCTTGCCTCAGTCAGGAAATGGAGATGGAAATAGACATGTGTTTAAGAGGGCTTTTAGCTGTCTTCACAATACGAACGTGTTGTGCATAATGAGGCCCACCTCGACAGCACACTGATATTCCGTATGTTTCACACTACAAGCGTATTATAATAAAGCAATTATCTGTAAAGGAAAATGGTGTGAAAACCTTTTTCTTTCACTGTTAAGGTCATTAGAGGAATATAATGCCCACTCACTCTGGATGCTGTGCGACTTGACGTCCCTCCAGTCCTGTGAGCCAACCTCCTTGTACTGGACCAGGTAGTAGCTAATGGGGACACCGCCATGCGAGTCAGGCTTCATGAAGGTGACAGTCGCCAAGCGCTGGGAAACGGCTGAGAGACGCACCGAGTATGGGTTTGATGGTACATCTGTAAAGAGACATGACAGCATTTGAATTATTTCAAAGCTGCAGTATACATATTTCAAAATACATACATAATACTAAGGCAGATGCAATTAGCACCCAGTTGTCCCTAGCCAATAATGCTATTTACACCCAGATGTAAATAGCGAATGGCAGTACATTTGTGAGTTTTTTCTCATAAATTCACCACTTAAATGTCAGAGAATATCCATGATTGACTAGCCCTAACCATGACTTCTTTCCCCTCGTCCTAACTACTTCCAACCTTAAAGCATCAACATGACAGGAGCTTGCCAGTTACAGCACGCTGTGGGATCCATAATTAAAGGAGCTATATGTAAGAAATCTAAAGCAAATAGTCGTAAAATCCTCCTAATATGTCACAGAGACTAAGGAATAATGTTAATATAACATACTGATCTCACCGACAACAATAGTACAACCAGAATATTCGCATTTAAAAAACATTTTTACAGTCCACAAATCTGTTTATGTTTCGAATTTGTGTTTTGGCCTGTTGCGCCATCCACCGCCGTCTACCAGTCACGCAGTCAGTAGAGTCTCAGCATCAGTTACAGTTACGACTGAGCTACAGCAGCACGGCAAGTAGCATTAGCAGTGTCCCAGTACATAGCATTAGCAGCCGACTTCTCCTCAGCTGTATCCCGGCAGCAGCGTTAGCAGTGTCCCAGTACATAGCATTAGCAGCCGTCTTCTCCTCAGCTGTATCCCAGCAGCAGCATTAGCAGTGTCCTGGTACATAGCATTAGCAGCCGGCTCCTCCTCAGCTGTATCCCGGCAGCAGCGTTAGCAGCAGAGAAGCCGGACTTGCTCGAACAGTCCGCTGGAAAACCGAAGATCAAGAACGCGGCGACGCTTTACCTACGGCATAGGCTCTACATCAACATAGAGCCTACACCGTACCCCACACCGTATCCTGACATGCACCTCCCCAGATATGTAACTACACGTTGTGGCAACGCAGACCTCCTGTCTATTTTTGTAAGCTGAAACCATTTCCCTCAGTGGAAACAAAGCTTTTATTTAATTTCACAGATACGGAACAATAAATTGTGAAGACAATAAAGCCTCCACAGAAATAGCATTTTAAGTCTTTTGTGTGATTTATCCTGGCTTCATATGATGATTCACTCATACTTGCTAGGCTAACTTACACAATGTAAGGTGCCATAGGCTTGTGCTAATAATGTTAGCATGTTGTATTTCTTTGGAAAATGTGTTTAGTATAAGACAGTTGTTTTGTCAGTGAACCTTGTGAGTTGTAATGGAGCTGAATTTTGTAATGTTAGCTTTGTTAAATGTTGTTGCTGTTGCCCTTGGCTTCATGTGAGTAGAGGAAAAGTCCACTAGCTGCTAGGCTAATTCATACAATGTAAAATGCCATAGGCTTGTGCTAAAAACATTAGCATGTTGTATTTGTGGGGAAAATGTGTCCAGCAAAAGACAAGTGTTTGTCTGTGAATGCTGTGAGTTACATGCGTAGGCTACGACGTAGGCTCTGCATAGAGCTGACACACAAGTCTAAATCCCATGCTAGGGGGATAAATTGGCAGAAATGGAATATAATAAAATAAGTATGCTTTCTTTAGTGTATAATCACCTGAAAACATGAATTGTTGTATTGTCATTACCTCAGAATGAGCCATTTATATCTACATAGGTAGCGAGTCTCTGTCTATGCAGAACACCATGTTGCACCGCAATGGATTTTTTTTTCATATCAGTGTATTGTGCTCATACTGCCACTAGATGGCACAAAAAAGTGTCCATGAACAAGGTCAACAGATCTAAGTTGGGTAGAATGAAGTATAAGATCAAGGTACAAACCTCCTGAACAATGAACACTGAAGGAATTCTAACCTGGAGAAATTTCAGCTGGTTGCAAAGGGATTTAGTGGCACCACTAAATGCCACTAAATCCCCTTAAATCTTACACACTGTTCCTTTAAAATATTTTTTAACTTTTTTAACTTTTTCACTCAGCTGCACCTTTCATTCGTCCTTGGACTTGTTTTAGTTGCAAACACATGTGCTCCTTTTTTCAGTTCACTTTGAAAGCATCAGTGCAATAATTGTGTAAAGAAATTTCTAGTGGTTTAACTTTGAAGAGAGTGTGCAAAGAAGTGACGAGTCCTTCCACTGGAGATCATCTCTCCTCTGAGTCTCCACTGCTGACTCAAACTTTTACAACTACATGAGTGTGTGTTTCCTACTCTGTGTGTATTTCTGCAGAATTGTAAATGTCAGAACAACTTCCAAAACACATTGTTTCCTGCAAGACTACATATTAGGTCAGCTTTTTGCTCACTACTTTTCTCCTTAGCCAGAGCAATTCAATCTGCACTAAAGATAATTGGACTGCACTATTGTGTATTAGCCTGGGCTACCGTAAATTAGGGGGTACTTCAGTAAATAGCGAGGGGTATGGTAAATCAGCTAGCACTATTTGAGATTAGGCGAGGCTGAATAGGGGTTGGGAGTTGTAGTGGAATTTATCATCCTGAGAATTGCAAATAAAGCTATTACCATTAGTAGAGAGGTAGAGGGTTACAAAGCAGTTGAAGAGTTGGAGTTACTGTGAGAGCAGTGATTCGAAAGGTGTGGGATCCCTGACTCCACACATTCGGGACTTTAAATGAAGTCACCAATCTCATTAGAGCGGGTAAAGGGGCCACGCAGTAGTGGCAATCCTGCACACTCACCTGCCTGGGCCAGGATGAACTCCTGGTATCGAACTCCAATGTTGTTCCTGGCTGTGCAGTTGTAGCGGCCAAAGTCCCTGTCAGACATAGGAGTCACCTAGAACCAGAGAGAAATATATATTTTTACAGATTTCTCTTGATACTGTCTGTTGCTATGCAAATAGTTTTGAAATTATTTTAAATCTGCTTTCATCTTTGTGAAGCTAAACGAAGTGAAAAATTACATTTATGCTGCACTAATCAAAATTTCATAACAGCAACCGGCTAAATGACTGGTGTTGATTGTCGTGACACACCCACATGGATTATCATCTGACTCTGACATTTTAGCATCCTAAAGCTTATTGTTTCAGTTTACGACCACAAATTGAGCATATCATTAGTTTGGGCAGGACACAATGTCAAGCTCAGCTCACATCCCAGCTACATCAGCTGATATCGAACAGCCCCATCAACTGATGGGTCAGCTGCTTGATGGAAGGGAGTCAGCTGATAGATCACAAGATTTCTTTCTATGCAACCAATTGGCAAATCTCCTTCAGGGCGCTCTATTTAAACAGCTCTGGCCTGCCTACTGTTCAACTTCAACTTCACTTCAGCTCCTCCTTTTCATGTTGTGTCCGACTTATCAATGTCATTTCTGATTGTCAGTGATGCTGCTCTATTCCCGCGGGGTCTTTGCTGTTGCTCTCCCTGCCTTAGGCTTTCCTTGTAGGAGCATGGAAGGGCAGATAAGTTTGCTCTCTGCGCTTAGGCTTTCCTCATTTGCATGTGGAAGGGCAGAGAGGTGTGCTCTCTCTGCCTCAAGGCTTTCCACGTAGGTGCGTGGAGGAGGCTTTCTGCGTAGGCCAGAGGAAAGGCAGAGAGGCCCCAGGACAGAACCATATCACCAAATATAATACTGCAAATGGAAATAAAGTTTTCCTGACTGAACTTAACTAATTTGGTTCATTCTCATAAAGTTGTTTTAAAGTTTTAATCAAAACAGCTCTAATAAACCCACCATATGCTTCCTGCCCAGTACCAAATGGCAGATAAACAACTAGCAGGTGAATATGGTGGAGCATTTAGCAGCTAAAGAGGCAAATACTTCTCTAACAAAGTTTGGTAGAGACTAGCCTGGGAACCAGATGAATCTGCTGGCTCATGTGTTATTATCTCTGGCAGATGCCTCTGGTCCCCCTCCGGTTCAGACATATTTCCACCCAACCTGGCCCACTTGGGGCAAATCATAACTGTTAATCTAATATTGTGTGAGCTTCATATAATGACTAAAAACTTTTGGAGCCTTCGCACTCAGTGCAACATATGTCATGATGTCATGTAGTGCCATTGAGGCATTTTCAGGAACAACCAAGATGGCTGCAGCTGATGTGGAAGTTAACACTAATGTACGATTTTTAAATTGTGATGGCAAAAATACTTGTTCACAAACATACTGATGCTACATCATTTGAGCGCATTATGTTGTGGAATATAGACACTCCAAACACAGGACTGGACAGTAGAGGGTTTACTTGCAAGAAAGCCTAAGAATTGGTACATCATGACAATTTATAGTATCTAAACAAGCAGTATCAGTTGACACACCTACAAACTTTCCAATACACATTAAAAGGTTTTTCCTGTTATTCTGATAACCAGTTCTGGGAACAATTGCTTCTCCTCACGTAACCAGATTTGGTCAGTGTATGTCAGGCCATCTGGCTTAAGTCACGTCAGGTCATCTACATTGTAAACGCTGCACGCTAAGGGCCGCACACATGCCGTGTTTTTTGTGCCCGCAAATTCTTTTTTTTTTTTTTTTATGTAGATGCACAGCAGGCGCACTCAAATGCCAGAGCCATGCCATCGCATGCTCAGCTCGGAACGCAACATCACGCACCACATGTCATGTGACAAGGAACAACCAATCACAGCCGACAGATATCTTTCCCTTCTTCCCTAAATATCAGTCTGTGATAAATATGGAAAAGTTGATCATTTTATTGCAGGGCTACCCAGAGCTTCACATATGTCACACAGACGATAGGCCTACACACTTATGAACAGCACCTGGAAGAAGGTCAGCTCTGCACTCAAGATTTCAGGTAAATAGTCTATGATACCATGCTTGGTAAGGATACTTAGCAACCTCAGATGCATGCTGCTGCTGCTCTCTTTTAAAGCTGGCTCAAAAAAGGCACAGAAGTAGCACCGAAACTACCAAAGAGGAATAACAGAGCCATTGGATTTTGGCTGGACTGCAGCAAAGTGGGTACAAGCCCTATAAACGTGAAAGATAGCTGGTGATCTCATTATTAGTCTCCTCTTCCCTGCTGTTGGATGTTTTAATATATAGTTTTATTTCACCAGCTGGCACTTACATATTCTGTTCAGCATTTGTGAACGCAACTCTATGCAGTTCGGTAAAGTTAGAAAGATATTCACATATTTGAACTTCCCAGATCAATAACTCATAAGCAAAACGTTGTTAAAACACCAACATGGCCTCTTTCCAACCACAGAGTCAGTTCAGCAACGAGCTACAACCTAATTTTCATTGTCTTTTGAACTGGACAATAACGTTGCTCTCTATGTGCAGCTGGCTGAGTTTGCAGAGTCTGTCTACAAAGTGCTCCACTGAAAAGAGATACTACAAAAATATTCTTTCTTATACAGTGTAGTGTTACCAAATTCACTTCACACACATATAATTATAGAACTCCTAAAAAGGTAAAAAAGGTGTTTGCTGTGCACATGACCATGATAGTACCACCTCCGCCTCATTTTGAGCCAGCAAAACCCAAGACTTGGAATGACTGTTGCTCCATATGGTGTGTGTACAGTGTGTGAACTTTCTCATGGTCTGTAATTGCTAGCAAAGTGACTTGTACCCACCTCCAGCACAGACTTGCCGTCTACACTGTGGACCCGCGTGTTGGCAGTTCCCTCTGCAGAGATGGTGAAGCGTTCTCTCCTCCACAGCATGGTGGCAGGAGGGTTGGACATCACATCACAGCTTATGTTCACCGGGTTCCCTTCCCAAGAGTAATAGATGGTGTGGTTGGTCAGGAACTTTGGTATATCTGTCAGAAACATAAAGATATTACCTCTCAAAGATGCCTCATTTATATGATAAATCAGCTAAAACAAGACATAAATTGCTAAAAGAATATTTGATGGTGTGTTTGGAATTTGTGGCAGCCAATTAAACACTCAAATCAAAGGTGAAGCTGTACTTCATGATCAAAGACATAAAATGACTTGCTGAGGCTTAACCCACAAATTCCTCATAGAAAGAAGAATTTCATTAATGCTCCCCAAACGCCCTCTGCAATGTTAAAAAGAAAAACTTAATTGAAGCCACTGTGTTCAGGGGAAGTGGATCTCTGTTGCGATCATCTCCGCAAGAACAAAAATAAAGGATGCGAAGAGAAGCTCATTTGCCCCAGCAAATAAGAAGGGCAGTAATAGAGGATCGTGGCGGCAAGCTGTTGTGCGCATTTCTTTCGGCCCAGTCAGCCCAGCTCAGTCGGAGAGGCATTATGGTTGTTTTATGCTCGCTTGCAGGATTCCATTAAAGAGATTGATGCCTGGCTCTCTGTCACAGCCGAGGACGCGTTATCCCCCTGCAGCCTGCAGTGACTTAGTAAATGAGTTCATTAGTTCGGTGGCAGCGGCTGCCTCAGCCCTGCCACATTCCGACTCACAGCCTGTGTCTTCTCTGCAGAGCGGGACTGGAGTCTGAGAGCAAGTTGTCAGCTGTGGCTCCGGCAAAACAAGTTTACAGTGTAATGACAGCGACTTTGCTTCATGGTTGGAGCGTGCATGCATGTGAGGGGTTTTTTTTCTACATGGGGGCATCATTAAACTTTTTCCAAAATGTCGACTTTTCAATGCAAAATCCATGAACCCAAAAGTCACCTCAGCCAGAGGAGGAGAAAATTGGTTTCCACATGACAACAAAGATGCAGTATTCAATTTTTTACCCTCCCTGTCTCTCTGACTACATTTGTTTGTCTGCCCTCTCTCTTTGTTGTTCCTCCGAGCGCCAAGGTGGAAAAAAAAAAGCAATTTCCATTGGTTCAGGCAACAGAGCCGCTCTCATAATGAACCTAATAATTCCGAGGCCAAAATGGAGATCTTTGCTTTAGAGCTCATTAGGCAGGGGATAGCCCGCCCCAAATAACCCCAAACAACTAGCGCTGAGGAATGGGCGCGCTCATCGGGAAGTAGGGGAGCTGTCGGCAGGGGTAAAGGCGACGCATGATATCCTCTCCCTAATTAACCCTTCTGAAGGCTGTGTGTGCGTGTGTGTGTGTGGTTTTGAGCGGGTGAATTGTTTACAATAATATAATGATCTTCAGAAAGAAAAACAGCCACAGTGTGAAAAGAATTATTAAAACTAAGTGCGGTCGAACTTTTGAACTCAGTACAAGACTGTAGGGGTGCACGTGTTTCTCGCTAGGTTGCCGATTTGACTGCTTAAACGTGTGTTTTATTTTCACATTAAGGATCTGAAAGTGCTAATGGAAACGCAGAGAGTGTGGGAGTTAGTGGGGTTATATCAGATCACCAAGGCCCCTTAAGCAACACTGTTATCTTATTTGCCCACGGACAATGTTACACATTTAGTTGCTTTACATTTGCAACTCTCGAGAAAAATAACAAGCGCTTCCATCTGCTCACTTAACTTCAGAATGTTGTTTCTTGTGCTGACATCAGTGTTGTAGTGTTGCATTTAGCAGAATATCTTGAATACAGTGAGTAATCTCAAAGAAAAATCAGTTTCTTAATTCAGTAAATTTAAAACACAGACATATCTTACTATATATCTTCTTACTATATAATGACGAAAACTGTGTGTCTGTGTGTCCGTTCCACATTTTTCTCCTCACTGACTTGGTCAATCCATGTGAAATTTGGCACAGTGGTAGAGGGTCATGGGAGGATGCAAATGAAGCAATATTACATCAATTTGCCAAAGGGGGGTGCTATAGCATCTAATTGAAATTGCAAACTTTGAATGGGCATATCTCATGCCCCGTATGTCTTAGAAACATGTAACTTTGCACAGAGAAGCCTCTCCTCATGAGGAACAAATTTGCCTCAAGAACCCATAACTTCCGGTTATATAGATTTTCCGCCATTTTGAATTTTTTTGAAAAACACTTAAAATCGATCTCTTCCTAGGAAGTTGACTGATCTGCATGAAACTCGGTGAACATAATCTAGGGACCAATATCTAAAGTTCCCTCTTGGCAAAAGTTGGAAAACTTAAGACAATGGATATTGCGGAGGGCGTGGCTCATCACATAAAGGTGTATAACATCTTTCACCAATCACCACGCAACTTTGTAGGCATATGACCACACATAATCTGAAGGGACCCCTCCATTATTGACCCCATCAAACAAAATGGGGGCGCTAGAGAGCTAATTTCTTATCTAGGCCTAACCGCCATATCTTCATGTACATGTACTTCATGGAATACATTGCTCTTCTTAATGGGTTCAGGTGACTATTTAATCTGCAATTTCCTATGACGTGTATCCCAAACACACACCATGTCAAACTGTATGTGGGCAACTGTGCACTCAATGGGTATGGACTAGTTATACTCCAATTACTTGATTTGTTCATTACACCTTTGAAGTAAATAGAAATCATTTAAGGGTAAGTATAATATTTTTCAATCTGGAATCTATTTTCCCATGGGTTTGTGTCTTAATGACTAACCATGAATGAAGTAGGCTGCTACATATGATATGAGATGAAATGGTACTGGAAGTGTCTGTGACTGTGAGACAGTAAAATGTTGTAAATGATACTCTGTAATCTTATAATGGAAAATATAGAAACATTGAAAACACTAAAGTTCACCGTTGGCCAAGACTTACAACACATGTAGGTATCACAAGGCTATATGTGACAGTATAGATATTTTTTGCTATTAAGTTAGATGATGATGAAACTACTCTGAATAGTGTCACATAAAACACATTACCATGATGCCAGACTGTTTCTGCTACTGAAATAATGGGTGGAAAAGTTGCTTAGTTAATGACTGATGAGGTCTTTGTGATCGAAATGTTGCATATGTAATAACAGGAGCCAATTAACAGACAGATTTGTCCGTGGATACTTTTTCCTTAAGTGATCTGATTGGTAGTGATGGCCAAATGAAGCCTCATGAAGCATTTTCTTTATTTTCTGAGCCCACTAGTTGCCGCTTTCTGTTCATCAAAAGGTTGAAAGCACACTGAATTGCCATTCTTTGAGCCTCTCTCTTTAAGCCATGAGTGCCATCTAGTGGGCTCAGAAAATAAAAAAAATGCTTCATGAGGCTTCATTTGGCCATCACTACTGAT